TGCCTTCTGCTCAATAAATCGAGGCTTGATCAGACTCCTGTCTTGCCTCCATTTCTCGCGTCTCTTGCCCCTCTTCATTCCCAGTCCCTCTTTCATGTATCCATGTTGTTTAATGGCCCGCGGGACGGGTCAATTGGGTAGCTTGCTAATGATAGGTACATGGCACCCTTGAGGGGGTGAGGCCGTGCGAATCAGGTGTATGGAATGCTAACATGGGGATTCGTCCATTCGAGCATCCTGTTAGGCTCAGAAAGGAGTCATCCCAGACGTGGAAAGGGGATCTCACAACCCCCAAGAAAGAAGACTCAGGAACAAATTGCTGCAAAATCCGAGTCTCTGCCTGCCGTCAAAGCGACCCAAATATTCTAAGACAAGCTTTTGGAAATAAACAAGACTATTTTATTTGTTTCATCAGCTTAGTTTCTCAAAGCGCCTCCCTGAGCAGAGAAGGGAGGGGGGTTTTATGCAGGAGAAAAGGAAAAGGGTTTGGGAAGGAAGACCAACCACTTTGTATCTCGGTCACAGACTAACAAGCATCACGAAATGCCAACAACCTTGTATCTCCATGGCAGAACATTGGCCAAGAGACAGCAGGGCTTCTCCAGAGCTCTTCCTGCTCAGATGGAGGGCTCCATGGTCCACAGAGCGACAGCAGAGCAAACTGGCTTCTCTTGCTCCTTTTTCTATGACTCAAAGGACTAAGCTTCAGTCTAGCGACTTCTCAGCATGTCATCGTGTTTTCTGGCCTAAATTGAGAAACTAATCATTTGCTTTACTTTCTACTGTTGAGCAAAGGAAAATGAATCGTAAGGGAACTAAAACAAATCATACTGAAATCATAAACATAATAATTCCTTTACATATTTTACTTTAAATTTAGTTAACGTCTTGTTCTTTGTATAATGATCTGTATCATTTCTTCACTTTGAAAGGAAAACAGCAAAGCCCAAGAAATTAATCACAAGCTAAACTCTAGAGCAGGGGTCCTCAAACTTTTTAAACAGGGGGCCAGTTCACTGTCCCTCAGACCTGTTGGAGGACTGGACTATAGTTTAAAAATAAACTATGAACAAATTCCTATGCACACTGCACATATCTTCTTTTGAAGTAAAAAAACAAAACGGGCAAAAACACCCGGCAAGCTGGATAAATGTCCTAGGTGGGCCGCATGTGGCCTGCAGGCCGTAGTTTGAGGACACCTGCTCTGGAGGTTCCCAAAATGTATGAAGCTCCAGCAATTTACTAGGCCTGATGTGACTTCCAATGGAGCACATCCTTTGGACCTGGGATCCTGCACTAAGAACCTCCTCGATCCAGCTGACCAAGAGCTGTAACACGGAAGATGGTAAGAGGCTACCAGAGCCAGCAGTGGCAGAGACAGCGGGACCAAGAGTCCTGCAGGAGACGGAGCAGTGAACCGTCCTGGCCCATGATGTAAGAAAGCTGAGCGGCTTCAGGCAGGAGGCTTGAAGGCAGGCTGGAATGCCTCTGGGCACTTATTGGCAGAACTAAACCAGCTGGCTGAAGCCAAGGGGTCATGGGCTGCAAGGCCAAGGACCAGAGACAAATGTCATTTGAGGCATGGCTCAAAAGAGGCTGCCCTGATGGGAGAACCACAGCCTGAGTCATTTCTTGAGGGAAACGAACTGGGAAGAGCGGGTATGTGGACACATTCTCTGCATGTATTTAAGGAGTCTGGAGGCAGATTCTGGTAGAGGGAGGCCTTCATGCTCATGAGTTGGAGATGCATCCCAGTCACATTCTCCTAAGTAAAAGTTATTCCCCACGATGCCCGCCCCCATAATGTCAATTTTAAGATGCTGCTTGCAAGCACATGGTAGCTACTATACCCTTGAAGGAGATCTGCCTGAAGGTTGTCTGCCATCAAGAGCAATCAGACCACCTACCCTAAGGAGGATCCACTCCCTTCTCATTAGGATCATTGATTGAGAATCCCTCCTGGTGGCTCAAACTGCTATGTTGATACGATGCCAATCAAAGAGCATAGAATTCCTCCGGGGAGTGTTAGAAATGGAAACACTGCTGTCTGAAGAATATAATACGTGGAGGATCGTCGATTGATCCCCTGGAGAAGGGCTCAGGGACACTTAAGGTCAAGTCAGCTCAGGGAAGGCTAAGATTATGCCACCATCTTAACACTAGAATCCACCTGTCATGTTAGGTAGGTGCCTTCCTGTCACGTGTATGCCCCTGGCACTTCTCCTTCCCGTTACGTGTATATCTCTAACACGTCCCCTTCCTGTTATGTACAGGACACGGCTTGCATGCCTGACATTTTATAAGCTTGTGAGAGAATACATTTGCCCCCACCTCCCCCTGGCTCCGGTTTCCATTGGAGAGGTGAGCCCCTGCAGGTCTTCTCTGCTGTTTCTTTCATTTAACCTTCAATTACACAACCACCCCCTAGGACTCACTCGATTGTGAAGGCTGGCCCCCACAATTTCTGATGCTGAACTGTAACCTGCTATTTCCCTAATACTCTCCATAACCACGAGTATTGTCTATGAGTTCTGTGTGGCCATTGCAATGAACTATTGAACCCAGCAGAAAAGTAGAGAGCGCTGGAGGAGGGCTGGCTGGTGTTGGAATTGGTGAGAAGGGTTCGGGGATGGAGGTCTAGCTGACCTTCACCTTATAGGAATCAGCCTTGGGCTTTTGATTTTGAGTCTCCTCCTCCCTTGTGAAGTAAGTGGAGGTCAGATGCCACCCCCTTGTCATTTCTAGAAACACAAACTAGTTTATCTCGTCTTTAAAAATTATTATCATTCTCAACATCCCCTTATGTAACCACGGTGGAAAGCAAGAGTAAGGAGGTTGGAAATAACAAAAACGCACTGCTGTCGAGTCAATTCCGGTTCCCCACGGGGTTTGCGAGGCTTCGACCTTCACCGAAGCAGACTGCCACACCTTTCTCCCAAGGAGCAGCTGGCGGACTCAAACTGCTGACCTTTCAGTTCACAGCTGAGTGCTGGACCTCTGTACCAACAGGCCTCCTTGGCTCAGAAATAGGAAGATGAAATAATTCCAACTCGGGGTCATCCGCATCTGTATAACAGATTTCAAATTCCTTGTGAGGAGATGTCTTCCAGACCAGCCTCGTGCTTCAGTTCAGAGACAGTCCCGTGGATTCAGAGCTTGCCGCATAAGGATTCTTCACCAACTTGACACATCGGAAAATCATCACCATTCGGAGCGGAAACAGAAGAGCCACAAAGGCAATGGTAACTCCTTTGTCCACATCAACAGAGCTGGACAGACTTGGTTCCTCCATGGCCACACTGGACGCCTTGACCCTTTCCCAGC